GGCGGGGGAGGGGGGAGGGCAGCCGAGGCCACCGTCCAGCTGGGCCAGGTGGAGGGAAGGAGGCGGGCGGGGGAGAGGTCTGAAGGCAGAGCCGAGGTCCCTGCGCTCTGAGGACGACGCCGGGGGCCAGGCCTGGGGCCCCTGCCCCGGGGGAAGGAGTCCGGGCAGAAGGATGGCCAGTGTCACGTCGTCACAGGCGGGTGGGTCAGTTTTCTGGCCAAGAGAGGAGGAGGTGTGACCTGGGAACGCCTGGTGGGAACCCACTGACCCGCCGACGACGTGGCACCGACGCTGCACGCCCTCTCCCCGCCCCGCCGGCAGGTGGCCCGCCGCTGCTGGTCCGGGAACCCGAAGGCCTACGAGATCATCTGCCAGGCGATGCGGGACGACAGGGGCTTGGTGGTGACGCTGCCCCATGAGGTGGCGGATGAGCGTGTGCTGCAGCGGGCCCTGCGGCTGTGAGTGGGGCCGAGAGCCCTGTGGTCCTCTCACCACCTCGGCCCTGCCCTCACCTCACAGCCACCCGGCTCCCTCCCTCCCTCCTCCCCGTGCTCTCCTGGGTCAGGAGCTGTGCTCACGCCCTCTTGGGGCTCACCACCCAGAGGGAGTGTCACCGCGTCCCCAGCTCACAGCTGAGGCCAGAGGGGTGGGGACCTCTGCTGTCTGCACGCGGCTCCCTGGGGACCAGGAAGGTCGTGGGGGGTCTTCTTCAGAGCCGGGTGCTCAGGCCTGGCGCCGAGTGGGCTCGGGGGGCTGGTGCCGTGAAAACTGGCCAAGTGGAGCACTGACCAGTCCTTGGAGCCGTCTGCTGTCCCTCCTCCCACCAAGGGGCAGGTGCTCCTTTGGCCAGGCTCTCGCCCAGCGCCCCGCCTTCCCCCGACCGACCGACCAACTGGCGTGGGACGGCCAGGTGACCAGGCAGAGACGGCCTGGCCCGGGCCGGTGGTCCACGCCCGAGACCTGCAACCTTGCTGCACAGAGGCCAGCTTTGAGCATGTCCTCATTCTCCTTGGTCCCCACGACAGGCTCAGATTGAGAAAGAGATTGGGGGCCGGTCTCCAAGGAGCCGCAGAAAACTTGACACCCTCTCCCTACATCTAGCCGGGGGGCCGAGTCCTCCCCACGGGCCATTCCACCTTTGCCTGAGCTAACAAAACCCCATTGTTGTCCGGGCAGCAATGTGCACATGTAAAAAGTAGCTGATTTTCCAGCCTTCCTTGTAATTAGGAGTGACCATTGGCCTGGTTCCGGCCCATGAGACGACGTGGAAGTCTGCTGGGTGGGTCTTCCGGGAAAGCTGTAATAAAAACGGACAGGTGCGGCTGCATCGCTCTTTGCTTTTGCCCCTTCTTCCTGCCAGAACCTCAGGTGTGATGCCTGGGAGCACAGCAGCCCTGCTGTAAAGTGACCATGAGGCTCACCGTGGCACTTGGGGGCACGTGGAAAGGCAGAGGCGCCTGGGCTGCTGGCAGTGCTGGGAACTGTTATACCAGGCCCGGATGGCCTCCCCTTCTCCTTGGTCCTCACCTGCTAAAGCCATCCTGGGAGGGCTTCTCTTCCACATGGCGAGCACGGGGTCCAGATGACCGTATCGCCGCCAACAAGTCTCCACGGAGGGCACCCTGCTGCGTGTATCTGTGCGAACATTCCCTGTTCCTAGGGAGGGACAAAGAGGATATGTCCAGTTTGAAGACCAGGCCCTCCCGTCATCCTTTCCCATCCAGCACCCTCGCTTATTCAGGACAGCCAGGGCTCGGCCAGCCTCAGGGCAGGGTCTCAGGAGGCTTCTGGCCACGTGTGAGGGCTCCAGACCCGCCCTAGGCGCCCTACTGAGGCCGCCAGTGAGCAGTCTCCTGCCGTGCCTCAGCTGCCAGCAGGGAGAAGGGACAGCTGACGCCCAGAGTGGAGCCACCACCGGGCCCGGAGGGAGTCAGGGCAGTGACCGCAGCCTCCATAGCCATGGAGGTGCCAAGTTAAGATTGTCACTCGCCACCCGGCTCTGCAGGGATTGAGTCACCAGCCACCGCAGCTGCTGACTTTTCAGCGCAGCCGCAGAGTTGAGGATGCAGAGCAGGGCGAGACGTTCTGTGTTCTGGGAAAACGGGCAGCACAGGCCCTCAGAGAGTCAGGTATTTTCTGGAGCAGTCGTTTACGAACCTGGATTCTCACCTCTTCCCACACTTAGAAAAGCACTAAAACCATCAGCTTAGGTATTTGCTCCTTCCCACCAGCAGCAACCTTATGCCAGCCTTCTTGAAGAAAGGAGAGATGTGTAGTCCGCTCAGAAATGTTTTCATCAAAACAATGAAGGTAGAAAACAGGTGGCCCTGACGGGCGTGCGTTCGGCTGCCTTCGAAACTGGGGCTTGTGAAAGTCTCCGGGGCCCCCTCTGCTCCCTGGGAACCTGGACTCCCCCGGGAACAGAGGCTTTCCCTGCCGGCCAGCGCAGGCCAGGCCGGTGCAGGAGGGCTCAGCTCTCTCGCCCTGGGCTTTCCAGAGGGGGCGCTGGACTTGACCTGCACTTGCGTTGTATTTGGCCTGCCCTCTGTAAAAATTTTTTGGCATCGTCACCGATTTTTAGAAATTGGGAAATTTCACTTAAAAAAATCCAGATTTTGAGTTACTGAAAGAAGTCAAGAGGTTAGGTGACGCCACGTGCTCGCCACCGCTGTGGCAGCAATTAGCCAGAGGCCCCTTGGGCCTGGGCTTGTTTCACCCAAGTTACCGCAGCCCTGCAGCCTCTGCTGTCCTCCCCAGTGGCAAGGCCAAGTGTGTTTGTTGTTTATTCTTGGGCGGGAGCTGCTGATTTCTTGCCCCTGCCTGTTCCCCGTGTTTGTGTCGCCTGCATGGCCTCTGTTGGGATTTGAATCTGTGTCTGTATTAGGGCTCTCTAGAGAACCAGCAGGAGGTATGCCCGTACATATATCCATATGTGCTACAGATAGATGTCCATATATAGAGGTAGATGCCGTCTATGTCACGTGCGCCGGAGGCCCAGGGAAGCCGGGGGCGCAGTTCAGCCCCAGCCCCTGGGCCGGGGAGCCCGGGGCGCCGATGGTGTGAGTCCCCGCCCAAGGGCAGGAGATGAGAGGAGGGGTCCCAGCTCAAGAGGGAGGCAGGAAAAGGCAAACTGCGCCTCCTCCCACCTTCTGTTTTGTTCGGGTCTCGACTGCTTGCATGACGCCTATCACTTTCTCTGGGGAGCCCCCCCCACTCAAATCCTAATCTCATCTGCAAACACTCTCACGGACACACCCAGAAGCAAGGTGTAAAACGGCCCGATCCACACCATGTGTAAAATTTACCGTCACGGCGATCTTTGATGGAGAAGTTTCCTTCAACTCTGTGGTATGATGATTTACAATAAGAAACATGTGTTTGGTCTTCAGCCCTGTTTCTGGCCCAGAGCTCCTGAAACCCGTGGACTTTCCTAAGTGATGAGAGAGATGAGGTGTTTTGCTATTCGTTAACAAGCCCCTTTCTGCCACACCTGAATTTATGTTTCCGAATTTGGGGCCTCACCTGAGATGGGGCTGGTCGCCCCGGGGACCCAACCTTGTGACTGGAGAGTTGAACTTTCAGTTTCCCACCCGCGACCTCCAGGGAGGGGAGAGGGGCTGGAGGTTGAATCAATCACTGATGGCCAATGATTTCGTCCATCTCGCCTGTGTAAGGAAGGCTCCAGAAAAAAACAAAAGGAGGGGGATGGGGAGAGCTTCTGGGCTGGTGAAGCCCTGCAGATCCGGGGTGAGCGGCGCACTCGCGGTGGGAGTCCGTGTCCTTCCCCAGGCCTGGCTCTGTGCGCCTCTTCTATCGGGCTGTTCTTGAGTTATGTCATTTCATGATAAGCCAGCGATTTATGTAAAATGTTTCTCCGAGTTCTCTGAGCTGCTCTAGCAAGTTAATTGAACCCGAGGAGGGGGTCATGGGAACCCTCCATATGTTAGCCGGTGGGTCAGAAGCACAGGTGCCAACCTGACTTGCAATGGGCATGTGGCGGCACTCTGGCAGGCCTGAGCACTTGAGCTGCGGGATCTCCTGGTGGATAGTGTCAGATGTATCAACTGCCTGGCGGTGTTGGGGAAAAAAGCACATTGGAACTCCCGGCCCAGCCCAGCCCCACTCCTGCCACAGCTCTGGAGGGACTGCATGCTACCATTGCCCGTTCAGAGTCCACAGTGAGGCCTTTCAGCCTATCAGGTGCTGGGAGAGCAGCATCTGGGCTGGTGGGGTTTCCCCCAATTGCAAATATGACAAGTGCACGTGTGTCCTCTGCTTCTCCTCACCCGGCTGCCCCAAGCCCTTTCTACGCCCACCTGCTCGGAGGGCCGGGCCTGGGTGACTGAGGGTGAATGCGCAGTGTCTGCGGTGCTCCTAACGCCCGGAATCCCTCTAGAATGTGCCTTTCTGTCTGTGCCTGAGTCATCACCAAGCCATCACCGCCAGTCAAGCCCAGGGAATGAGCTGCCCCTCTGCTCCTCCCTGCTTGTTGCAGGGAGGTCGGGAGGGCAAGGACAGTCCTTGGCAAACGTTTAAGAGGGCTCATTTCACCCATTTAAAAATGTTTTTAAAAATACTGTCAGCCTGGGCTTCCCTGGTGGCGCAGTGGTCGAGAGTCCGCCTGCCGATGCAGGAGACGCGGGTTCGTCCCCGGTCCGGGGGGGATCCCACGTGCCGCGGAGCGGCTGGGCCCGTGAGCCGTGGCCGCTGAGCCTGCGCGTCCGGAGCCTGTGCTCTGCAACGGGGGAGGCCACAGCGGTGAGAGGCCCGCGTACCGCAAAAAAAAATAAAAATAAAAATATTGTCAGTCACTCTTGAAAGGTGAAAAATCAAGCAGCGGAAACATCCATATTGCCACCAAAGGTTTTCCATGAAAACATTCTTTTTCTTTATTGTTAAAAAACATATAGAATTTACCGTCTTAACCACGTTTAAGTGTACAGGTCAGTGGTCTTAAGCACATTCACATTGTTGTGCAACCATCAACACCCATCATCTCCAGAACTTTTTCATCTTCTCAAACTGCATCTGTGCCCTCATTACACAGACCTGCCCACACCGGCCCTTCCGCCTCCCCAGCCCCTGGCACCGACCATCCCACTTTCTGTCTCTAGGAATCTTTCTGTCTTTAGGGACTCACGTGAGTTGGAATTATGTACTTGCGGCGTCTGTTCTTTCATGACTGACAGACTTCACTTCGCATAATGTCCTCAGTGTTCACCCATGTTGTCCCATGTGTCATCATTGCCTTCTCTTTTTTTAAGACTGAATAATATTCTGTTGAGTCCACAAATCACATTTTTATTTATCCATTCAACCATCAGTGGGCAGTGAGGATGCCTCCACCTGTTGGTTGTTGTGAGTAGTGCTCCTGTGAACATGGGTGTGCAAATATCTGTTCCGGTCTCTGCTTTCAATTCTCTTGGGTTCATACCCAGAGGCGGGATTGCTGGGTCATATTGAAACCACACAACTGAGATGGGATTCGAACCCAGCCAAAACCCAGATTGGGACTCAAACCCTCAGGCTAGGACTCAAACCCATGGTCTTTTAAGTAAGATGGCACACCTGGTCTCAGGACTTGGTGAAGCTCAGGTTCTTTATGTCTCAGTGCAGAAGGAATTCAGTGAGAGCCAAAGTGATAGGTAAGAAGTGGATTTATTTAGAGAGCTACACATTCCATAGACAGAATGCAGACTGTCTCAAAAGGTGAGAGCGGCCCTGGGAGAAACACTCCACAGACAGACTGTGGGCCAACTCAGAAGGCGAGAGGCCCCGAAATATTGGGTGGTTAGTTTCTATGGGCTGGGTAATTTCATAGGCTAATGGGTGGGAGGGTTATTCCAACTACCTTGGAGAAGGGGTAGGGATTTCCAGGAATTCGACCACTGCCTGCTATTTGGCCTTTTATGGTCAGCCTCGGAATTGTCCTGGCACCTGTGGGTGTGTCATTTAACTGATGCATTACAGTGAGCATGTAATGAGGCTCAAGGTCCACTGGAAGTTAGATCTTCTGTCATCTTGGACCTAGTGGGTTCTAAGCAGTTTTTGTCGTATCCACAACCTTTTAAAGGTTGTGCCCTGCCCTCTTCCCTCCTGTTTCAAGATGGTAATTCTATGTTTAGGTTTTTGAGGAACTGCTACACTGTTTTCCACAGTGGGGAAAACATTTAATTATAAAAATTAAAGACACTCATGATCTACAACAAAATGAAAAAGTGTCAAAGGGAGTGAAGTCTAGAGTGAAAGAGCCCTTTCCCACCTCAGTTCAGAGCAGTCAAGGTGCCAGCAATGTCTGTGTCTTTCCAGAAACTTCAGGATATGCAGGCACGTGAACACACCTACAGTTTCCCCCCTAAATAAATGGGGTTCTCCCCAACAGTGTTCTGCATGGACTTCTCCTAACAATATACGTTTCACGGAGACATACCGAACATAAAAGTCACCATTTTAAAGTATAAACGTTGATGTTTTTCATGGCCTCATGGTGTTGTGTACTCATCACCACTGTCTAATTCCAGTACGTTCCATCACCCCGAAAAGAATCCCTTAGCTCTTAGCAGTTAGTCCTAATTCCCCACCCTCCACCCGCTGGCAACCGCCAATCTACTTTCTGCCTCTACGGATTTTCCTGTTACGGACATTTCATACGAATAGTGTCACACAATATGTGATCTTTGGTGTCTGGCTTCTTTCCCTTATATTTTGTTCACCCCTTTGTCTGCTGATGGACACTTGACTGTTTCCGTTTTTTTTTAATGTAGCATTATGCTACTGTGAACATTCGCATACAAGTTTTTGCGTGGATGGGTTTTCATTTCTCTTGGATATATACCTAGGAGTGGAATTGCTGGGTCATAAGGAAATTCTATCCTTAACTTTTTGAGGAACTGCCGAGCTTTTCTCCACAGTGGCTTCACCATTTTGCATTCCCACCAGAAATATGAGGGTTCCAATTTTTCCACACCCTCACCAACACTTGTTATTGTCCATTTAAAAAATTATAGCCATCCTAGTAAATGTGAGTGGTATCTCATTGTGGTTCTGAATTGCATTCCCCTGATGAGTAATGAATGATATATATATTTTTTTTTTCATGGGCATATTGGCTAATTGTATTTCTTCTTTGGAAAAATGTCTATTAAGATCCCTTGTGTATTTTTAAATTGGATTGTCTGTGATTAAGTTACAAGTTTTAAAAAGTACATTCTGGATAGTAGATCCCCATCAGATATATGATTTGAAAATTTTCTCCCATTTTGTAGGTTATCTTTTCACCTTCTTGTGTTCTTTCACTCAAAAGAATTTTTAATTTTGTTGAAGCCCAACTGGTTTCTTTTCATTGGTTGTACTTTCAGTTTCACATCTAAGAAACCACTACGTAATCCAAGGTCACAGATGTAGTATTTTTATAGTTATAGCTCTTACATTAGGCTTCGGATCCATTTTCAGTTCGTTTTTGTGTGTGGTACGAGGCGGAGGTCCAAACCCATTCTGGTGTTTGTGGATAACCAGTTGTCCCAGGACCATTTATTGAAAAGATTGTTTCCTTCATTGAATGGTCTTGGAGCAATTTATTTTTGGCACAAATTCTTACATATAAATATTTCCTGTTCTTTTCAATATTATTGATGTACCTTATTTTATTTATTTATTGGCCGTGTGGAGAGACCTAAGTTCCCCAACCGGCATTGCAAGTGCGGAGTCCTAACCTCTGGACCACCGGGGAACTCCTGAAGTACCTTATTTCTTTTTTCTTTTTTTTTTTTTTTTTTGGGGGGGTACGCGGGCCTCTCACTGTTGTGGCCTCTCCCGTTGCGGAGCACAGGCTCCAGAGGCGCAGGCTGCAGATGCGCAGGCTCAGCGGCCATGGCTCACAGGCCCAGCCCCTCCGCGGCATGCGGGATCCTCCCAAACCGGGGCACGAACTCGCGTCCCCTGTATCGGCAGGCGGACTCTCAACCACTGCGCCACCAGGGAAGCCCTTCTTTCTTTTTTAAAAATAAATTTACTTATGGCTGCATTGGGTCTTCGTTGCTGCACGCGGGCTTTTCTCTAATTGCGGCGGGCGGGGGCTACTCTTTGTTGCGCTGCGCGGGCTTCTCATTGCCGTGGCTTCTCGTGGGGGAGCAGCGGCTCTAGGTGTGCGGTCTCCAGTAGTTGCGGCGTGCGGGCTTAGTTGCGGTAGGTGCGATTTTCCTGGACCAGGGAGCGAACCCGTGACCCCCGCAATTGGCAGGCGGATTCTTAACCACTGCGCCAGGGAAGTCCCCCGAAGCACCGTACTACTGAAGAGCTTTTAATAATACATCATTCCTCCATACACATGTACTGAGCGTCTCCACTGCTAGCATCTGGGCACACAGCTGTGAATGAGTCGACAGGGTCCCCGTCCTCACGGAGGCTTCACTGGAACAGGGACAAACGGAACAACTGCAGTTGAGAGCTGTCCGAGGGGCGGGGGGAGGGCACTCGGAGAGAGCCCCCCAGGCTGGAACCCGCTCGTCCTGCGGGAGGAGGGGGAGAGGGGCGGGGGTCCGGTGGGGGGAGCTAGGACAAAGCGGGGCCGCTCGGGGAGGGGGCGCAGCCGGACCTGCGCTTTGTTAGATCACGGGCGCGGCCGGCAGAGGACCGACCAGGGGCGGGGGCACGGCAGCCGCGGGGTCATCGTCCTGGAACGCGCGGGTGGGGCGCGGTCGGTCCGGGCAGGGACGAGACGCGAGGCAGCGCTCACTGAGGCGGCAGGACCGCTCGGAGCTACAAGTCGCCGGGCCATCCCTGACCCACCGGTTCCGCCGCGCGACCCGGCCGGGAGCGTAACGCCAGCCTCCAGCGACCCAGCCTGCACCGCCCACCGCGCGGAACCCTGACGTCACGCGGCCCGGCAGGCCCCGCGCCCCGCCCGCCGCTCCGCGCACGCGCGCCTCGGGCCGGCTCCGGCGCGCGCCGGGGTGCACTCCACGCCGGGCT